TAAACTTCAAGTTTACCCAAAGCTAAGCTTAGTTCATCAACCGCCCTTCCCAAAACTATATAGTCATAACCGTCAGATGAGCTCACATTTTTATGTTCCTATAAATGTAGTTGTCAAGTTGTGTTTTTAAGCTCTTCCACACTGAATGCTTTCAAATTGAAAGCATTAGTCTATGAAATATTATTATTTTTTTTAAATATGACTTTAAAAAAGTGATTCTGAAAATTAACGAAACTAAATTCAAATTTTCAGCCCTGAGATTGAAATTTGTCTGCTTGAAATGTCGTTCAAATATTTAAAATGTAAGCGAAAGTATAGTCTTTTGCAATAAATCCATCTTATGATCACAGTGTTTCTGCAGCAGCAAATTCTGCAAATGTTTGAATCGTTTTCTTTTTTTTCTCTGCTTATAACTTTCCAAATTATTTTCTTTGCCTTGAGGCTATCATTAAATATTTAAACACCGTATGGAGTTTTCACTTCCAAAGTTGCTCCAATGCTTTCCTGCCCAGACAAAACTTTCCTCCTAGAATTTATGTCGGCAGTTTAAAGTTTTATTTCCTTATGTTTTCCACCCTTTCCGGTAGAGGTCTTCTGCAGCTTCAGATGTGATGCTAAAAAACGCACTGGGTTTCTATACTTCAGGCTCATACTGCTCCTTAAATTTGCCTTCTCAAAATGTGCAATTTTTGTTCTTGCAAAATCTTCTCATTGACATACCTTTGCTTCAAGACAAAGTTCATTTTTAAATAGTTTATTTATCTCTTTTTATGAAATGATGGTAGTTGACATTACAATATGAACGCTTGTTTCCAGAATCAGTTTTCTTTGCTTTAAGCCGCTTCTTCAAATTGATCCACAATGAATTCAATTCAGTTTATTTATATTGCGCCAATTCACAACACATGTCATCTCAAGGCACTTTACAGAGACATTTCCACCAGATCATCCAGTCAAATTGATTCAAAGTTTGCTATCTAAGAAAAACCAGTTGATTGCATCGACTCATTGACTCGAGTGCAATCCCTCACACCAAACATTCTTGTAGCGACAGTGGAGAGGAAAAACTCCCTTTTAACAGGAAGAAACCTCCAGCAGAACCAGGCTCAGTGTGAGCGGCCATCTGCTGAGGCCGACTGGGGCTAATGGAGACAGAAGCAGACAATAATTGCACTCCTAGGGTACCTACAGTTTCTCAGTGATGGTGAGTGATCCGTGCAAACACAAATCATCTCATTTCACTGACATCTAGAAGGATTTACGAATGGCTTGGTTTCTTACAAATATCATTAAGGTAGCTGTGTAGAAGCTTGGACATGTTGCAATTGCAGTATGTTTTTTTTTTTTAAACGACTTAAAGCTACAGTGTGTAATAATTACAGGGATATAAAGTCAGAAATTGAATATATTATACATAACTATGTTATTTATCATCACCTATGAGCTCAGCCTATGTAATTCAGAAATATAATGCCTATATATCTTTATATCTTCATAAAACTAAATTCTATCTATACGA